CCATGTAAACTCTGTGAGGGCAGGGTACATGTTTGCGTCCTTTCCTACTACATTCCAGTACCTAGCTCATAGATGGCATTTAAATTTATTAAATAAATACATGCTTTTATAAACCTTTTATTCCATAATCACTTTGGTTATTTTTTAAAAAATCATCTTTATTGTTGAAAACATTATATATGTCCTCCTTTTTCACCCCAATGACCCCCTCCACCCTGCCCCCACTCCATCCCCCAGGCCTTCACCACACTATTGTGTGTCCAGGGGCTGTGCATATACCCATATAAGTTCTTTGGTTATTTCTATGAGGTGATGCATAAATCCATTTTATAACATTTTGGTTATGGGAAACCAACAATGACTTCAAGAACCAGCAGGCTAGTAACCAGTATTAACAGTCATTAAGATGGAATTACCTGTATTAGAATAAAGAGTAACTTGATTTCTTATCATATTTGATACTTCTTTTCAAAACATGTTATATAGCCTTAAAGATACATTATGGTCTTAAGAAAATTATACATTTTTTTAAACCTTTGTTTCAAGACAACACATCAACTGTTATCTATTAAATATCTTTGGGAACATCAGCATAATTTGGCTGGTCTCCCATTGTGAACTATATACATGCCACTTAAATAGCATTCCCTGAAACTGGTTTTAGTTTCATTTTCAAAAAATTATTACATTTTAGATGAACAAAGAAAAAATACTAGAAAAATTAGATTTTAAGGATTTACCCAAATCCAAACTATTCACTGTAATTCATAGGAATACATAACTCAACCATTGAAAAAGTAACAAAACAAAAAAAGGAATGGCACATTTTACCTCTAACTTCAGTATAAATAATAATTTATCACAATTAATTTAAACAGTGGCTGTTAAAAGTAGAATCCAGAAAATTCTTGACTTAAATGACAAGTCTACAAACTCACATGATATTTATTCCTGGGATACAAACTGAACACATACTACCACACAATTATTTTTCACAATGGTAAGAATAAATAGGCTATGTTAGCAAAGGTTCAAATAAAAAAAAAGTTGTAATTAAAAATTTAAAAACCAGTAAAAAAATTTATTAATCTATTTCAGTATATACTGTTCATTCAGAATAGTCTTCTTTTTGACAATCACTGGAATTCATTACATACTAAAAATAATACCATGTTTACGCACAAATAAATTTATTTTCCCAGTAAGACCTAATCTTCCTTTAAGGAGATTTCCCACATATTCGCAGTACATAATATCACAGAACACCCATATTTGGCCCAAATGTCTCTGAATTGTAGCATTACAAGATGGAAGCTCATTGTGCCTGATAATTCTATTGAGTTTTGCCCAAATGTCTTCCAGAGTTTGGTTGTTACATATAGTGTGATCTATTGTCCATCTTGCTCTGTAAAATAAGTGTAAATCTAGTGCCTTTACACTAGCTTGCAATTTTTTAGACAAAGGAAAAATATCTCCAGTACAATTTCTGCTGGGGAGCGAAACACTCCAAGACCTCTTCTTGTGCCGTTTCCCTTTTTCTGATTGTTTATCCAGATTTCCAGAAGTAGTCTGTTCATTGAGTGTGTGTGACCGGATTAAGTGCTTCTTTTCTTTCAAATTAGGTTGAAACTCCAATAGCGCTACTGTACAATCATAACTCTGTGATTTAACATCATGTTCTGAAATGGTTAAGGATTGTTTCACATCTTCAGCTGCCTCTTCAGAAATCACAGGTGGTGATTGTTTAGGTTTGAGCGGAAGTTTGGACCCATCATGTGGAAACCAAGGGATAAATCTTGATAGTGGATGTGTAGGAAAGTCTTGAATTGCTTTTTCTGCAACTTTCAGCAATTGTGTGGGATCACTCTCATATGCGCGATAATGCAATATTATTTCTGTGGTCATTCTGAAGTAATCCAATTACTCTTAATGAACAGAAAATGTCTTAGCTGAGCTCCTCAGAGCTAGGATGTAATTTAAAATTACAAGACTGTCTCTTTCCAAATCAGAGGGAAACAGGACCTAAAGTGGAAGTATTGCAAAGAATAAGATATGGAAGGGATAGCCTACATACAAATAGGCAGGGAGGAAAGGAAAAACAAAAGCCAATCCCAGTATACTATTTTACCAAAGTGCTATTGGTAAATGCGAATGTAATCCACAAAACTGGAAATCCTTTCTCTCATGAAAATAAGGGATCTGGATTAGATGCCCTATCAGCTCACTTCTAGCCTAAAAATGCTAGTAGTCAACATGTTTAACTCAACTGATAATAAAGAATTTGGAAATAATGATATTAATATATTAGGTACTAATAATATTAAGACTATACACAAAACAAAGAAAAATTAGTGATTCTTAAAATACTAGATTCATAGATAATTTAAGAAAGGTAATAATACTTAAAATTTTGAGACATCTCAGTAGTAAACACTAAAAGCATAAAAATGGTTTCAGTTTGCATTTTACCCAGGCTAGGGACTGGTTCTGCGACAGCCTCCTCTGTATAATTAGGGCACTTCAGCAGTATCAAGACCATGGCTCCTGAATTCCAATTTGGAGGGAAGCAAGAAGGCTAGACCCTTATGTTTTTCTTCTTGTAACACAGAAGTCCTCATTTGCCCCAAATGAAGCATTGATAATAAGTTCCAGCATATTATTACACAGGCTCAAGTATGGAGCCTTCCAGGATCTGCAAGTTAGGTTTCCTAACCAGGTACAAAGCTGCAAAAGCCATACTTGCAAGTTCTTTCATATCCTGCACTAAAAAAAAAAAAAGAGAGAGAGATAGAGAGATTGAATCCCTTCTCCTCAAAATCATTAAATCATTACTTGATGAGGGTTCTCCCACTGTCAGGTTAACAGTGGTGGGGACTCCTGGCATGATGTCAACTCTCATTTGACCACTTTCTGAAGAGTCAAAAGAAGTCATCTCATGATTATTTTCACCTACTGTCAATGTCCATTAACAGATTTGACAACTTGTAAATTCATAATATTCATAACTTTTAATGTTTCTTAAATTAGATAGCACATTCTTTCAAGAATGAATGCTTGAATTTTTTCCCTTATACTTTCACACTGTAAGGTAATGACACTGAGAATTCTTTCAGTATTGTCTAAACTTCAAGTTTAGAAAAGACGAAGGAAGGCCTTGTGCTGAAATATTGCCTCAATCAATAATTAGCTTTGTGATCTTGGAAACCTTTTTGAGCGTTAAGGAGCCCCTATTCGGCGTGCTTGCTGTGAGATTGAGAGATAAAGACCCTGACAGAACCTTTTCTTCTTTTTCTTCAGGAATAACCCACTTCAGTCCAGCTCATTTGCTCAAACTAAGCTTATTGGGCATTTTGCTATGTTACTTAATCGTGCACTTCCTTAATTATACAGGCAGAGACAGCTATCAGTATACGATTTTATGCTACAAATGGGACTGGCGGGCTTCGGGAAGGGAGGGTCCCTCACAATGGATACCACAAGGAAGCGCAATGTAACTGGATTCAAACGTCTACTGAGCACTTTCTCACCTCAGTCGAAGAAGGGATTAGTAACCACATAGCAGAGCATCCAAGAAATTAAAAAAGTGCATTTGTGGTACGGAAAACAGATCAGATACAGCTGAAAGCATTTTAAAAAGTTTTCCAGGAAACAACAGGAATTCCAGAAAAACTCTAACCTGTTTTTCCTCTAAATAATGATCTAATTATCAAACATACTCAAGTTGATTGCTAGGTACAGAAAATGAAAGCTGACGTGAACTTTCCCATATACACAATATTTCGAAGCACACCACAGTAGGTTTTAACAAACCTGAATTATATATATGTCCGCACTGTGTACTTCTAACTCTCTGGCACTGCTCTTTTACGGACGGCGCTGAAGGCTCTGTCCGCGCCGCAGGAAGAGACAAGACCCCAGAGAAAACCGCTCCGGAGGGCGCCCGCCATCACCGTGGCCACAGGGCTCTCCCGGGGGCGGTGGGAGCGCCAGCTCCTGGGACTGAGCTCTGTCTGGTGACTGCAACACACACAACGGAGGGATCTGCCTCTCTTGGCTTGACAAGCCATCCCCTCCCCTCCGCGGCGGGTCTCTCTCTCCACTCCAGAGGGAGGCTCTCGAACCTAAAATCAGGGTTGACATTGCTTCCCGCCGCTTCGGCACCAGCGGCAGAGCAGCAGTGCGTGCACTGAGTGTCAGGAGAACGAGGCCTACATCCCACAGGCCAGGGCTGTGAGGCCAGGACTTGGAGATCTAGAGAGAGAAGGGGAGAGAACAGACGAAGGGGAGTCGGGTTCGCAAAACTTTACCTTTCAGAGCCAGCAGGTGCTCCTGTTTGGGGGGATTCACTTCCATTTTGACCGGCACTTTCCACCGAGAGCCTACGGGGGTTGAGGAGGTTCAATCCGACTCGGAAGAGAGCAGAAAAACGCACTTTCGGGAAGGTAGGGCGTCAAACACAGTCCCTTCCGGTGGTGTCTTAAATTCCCTCCTTATCGGGTCCTTTACGACCCAATGGCGGCTTCTCACCGAGGCCACATCTGGCCTGTGGGATACCTATACATAGGATACTCCTCCTCCCATCCGCATTCACACTTGGCGACTGCCGGAGCAATACTAGGCCTCCGAAATTGCGACCTTACGGCGTAAAAGATACAGAGGTGGCACGCTGGGACTTGTAGTTTCTATAAAAACCGCACTGCATGCAGGGAGATGTAGTCCCTCCTCGTCCCCCTTCCTTTCGCGGCTGGGGACAATATCTTGCTCTTGGAGCGGGAGTTGCATCCCAACATTTTACTTCTGTTTTAGCTTTACTTTTTTCCTTAACTTTATTCCTTCCATCAGTGGCAGACTCTTTAATAACAACAAAAATAAAGCGCCCCTGCGCAAGGATGTGCAGCCAGCTAGAGACTGGCGGGAGGAGGAAGGAGGCGGTCCTGGGAACATTCCCTCCGCCCCGCGCCGTAATGCGCCTGTGCGCCAGTGGCGGGCGCCGAGGCTTCTGGGTAGGTGGCTCTGCCCCGCCCCTCGGTTGGAGGCCCTTTCTGGTGCTTCTGCAGCGCCGCTGCTCCAAGGATGGCTGCTCTGGTTGTAAACAAGGCTGGATCGGGACTAGACAGTGGCCGTCAGGGCAGCTGGGGCACGGCCGTGGTGAAGGTGAGGGGCCTTGCGTTCTCTGTTCTCCACCGCTGGCCTGCCTGGGGTTCATCCCCGAGATGGGGCTGCAGCGCCGCGGCCCGGGCTGCTTTGGGCGGGATGCGCGGCCTCTGGGCCCCTCTTGGCTGCACAAGCCAGGCCCTCCCTCCGCGACTGGTCTTCTGTTCTTGCCAGTCCTCTGCCTGGCATCACCTCGGGGGCATTTGTGAAAAAAAAAAGCTTATGGGCCTGTGAAGTGACCTGGGCTTTCTTCCCCCAGGTCTTCTGATTTTAATTAAACTCAACAGGCATTAATTAGCTTATTTTTATTAAATCAAACCATTATTATCTCCAGGTATTATGTTAGCTTTTTAAATCGCTTGTGTCTCCTTATGAGGTTGATGTTAATTCCCGTTTTACAGGTGAGGAAACAAAGGTTTAAGTTAACAGTGTGTGGCAGAGCCAGGGTTGACAGGCTCCAAAGTTTGCTTTTCACTATTGCATTACTTCCATGATCAGACATCAATTACTGGGTGATCTCCCCCTTCCTCTCTTGGTCAACACTTTTTTTTAAAAAGAAAGTATTTTTATTGATTTCAGAGAGGAAGGGAGAGGGAGAGAGAGAGAAACATCAATGATGAGAGAGAATCTTTGATAGGCTGCCTCCTTGCACTGTTCCCCCTACTGGAGATGGAGCCCGCCACCCGGGCATGTGCTCTTGACCTTTTAGTCCCCAGGCCGACGCTGTAGCCACTGAGCCAAAGCAGCTAGGGCCTGGTCAACACTTTTCAGAAGTCTCCAACAGCAGCACATTAACACTAGGGTCTATGAATTGCCCTATGCTTGAAGTTTGAAACTCTACCCTGTGTAAATGCTCCAAGATGCCGTTACTAAAAAATCAACTGAAATAACGTGGAATTCATTTTTCCTGTCCACTATATATATGGAAAAATTTGGAAGGGAAAACTGATCATGGTGGTTTATAGAATCCCTTATTTATAACCTGAGATACTGATAATTCTCATTACTGGCTACATCTTCGAATCACTGAGCATGTTTAAAAAAACACAAACTGATGCAGCCCCCCCCCCCCCCAGTTCTGATTAAGTTGACATCAGTATATTTTTTACATTCCCAGAAATAATTTTAATGTGCAGCCATGTTTGAGAACCACTGGACCAGGTAATATCTGAAGTATTTTTTATTTATAATAGTCTTCTATGATTTTTCACCTAATGTTGGTTTTATATGACAACAAATGATACATTTCTGCTCACAACTGTATTCTCAGTCAGTATTGGTGGTTGTTGATTCATCTGACCTTTCTATACTAGTATTGATGAAGTTATTCTGAAAACACACAGCGTATCCAAAGGAGCCCTCTTATTATAAGGCATATTGTGTGGTTGAGATTTTATTTATTGAATTGTATTTTTTCTAAGTAGAGAATATCTGGATTATTTTGTGAATTAATGTGAATTAAGAAGTTGTATTAGGCATGAATATTATTGCTGTATCTACTTTGTTATTCTGTTTACCTTAAAATCTCAAAACTATACCAAAGCCTGATGGTACTCCAGTCTGTAATAGAACACAGTTTGATATATTAGAGGCTCACTTTATTCATTTTAATCTTTACATGTAATATGTGCCTAAGCTGTGCAATAGGACAGTCCTTTTTGGCAAGAGCCTCATGCTGTAATTTGTAAGAAATATGTTGGCATAAATTTTTTTTTTAAATTGTCGTTTTCATAAATGAAAGCAAGGAGTGTTAGTTGGAAGGTAAGAATTGAAGTATAATAATGCTAACATTATGTAAACTGGCCTCTTGTTTAATGAACAAATTGACAGTGGCATGGCTTTTATCATTAGAGAAACAAAGATAAAAATCTAAAATTATATTATTTACATTCAGAAAAGAATCAGGAAAGTTTCTTTTGAAAGTGAGCCTCACCCTGGCCACTGTGGCTCAGTTGGTTGGGCATCGTCCCATGCATGGGAAGATTGCTGGTTGAAATCTCGTGTAGGGCACCAAAAAAAAAAAAAAAAGAGAAAGTGAGCCTTCTTAGTCTTTTAAAAATATGGACTGGTTAATTAAAATTTTATTTATATGTAATAAGTACATGTAATGAAGTCCTCATTGGCATATTTGTAAAGTTTATAAAATTAAAAGCTATTCTACCTAGGACTTAATTTATCTTATACTAGGGGCCCAGTGCATGAATCCGTGCATGCTGGGGTCCAACCCCAGCAGGTCCAGGGGTCCCCAAAGGTGTGGACGGAGTCGGCGAAGAAGGAATGACACGGAGACAGCCTTCAGTTGATCAGCAGCCTAGCCAGGATCTCCAGCGAAGTTCTGGTTAGGATCTGATCAGGATCTGATGTTTATTGTCTTGTTACATCTATATTTATACCAGCCGATTTTAATCCTGTCAATTTCTATTGCAAAGGTTAGGGCGTTTCTTATCTCCATTCCAGGGAGTAAAGATTATGTAGCTTAAGCGTGATTGTTTGTAGTTAAAGTGATTAACTACCCGCCTGGCACTTAGTTAAGGGGTTGTATCCCCTCCCTAACCTCAGGGAAAAATCCCCACCTGGGGAAACAACCTTTCTCGGAGAGGTGACCTTGGTTAAAACACATGGCGCTTAAGGAGAGCAAACATATTAAGAACAATATGCTATATATGCCAGGTCCCTTGAAACATATGCTGTGCAGATGTTTCTTTCCTGCAGCGACTGTGTCAAGCAGCAAGGATGGACCGGCTTCCGGCACGTGCACCTTGAAAGGAACTGTTGGCTGCGAGGATGCAGCGGGCACAGGGGCGGGTCTCAGCCCATCCTCCGTGCCTCTGCCTGGCCCCTCCTGCTGCGGCCAGCAGCCCTGCTCCTGCCGCTGCTGCTCCCCTGCTGATGGTGCAGAGAGATTGGGGCTGGTGACAGCAGTGGGTGTGAGTGGGGCCAGCACTGTCAGCATGTACGAGCGGCGGCTGCTGCCCTGATCGCCCCTCAGGAGCAGGGGGAGGTGGAGAAGCCCTGAGGGGTGATCAGGGCTGGTGCTGGGTGTCAGCAGCAGGTGTGAGCGCCGGGCGGGACCACGGTGCACGGGCGGGACCACGGTGCACGGGAGGAAAGAATTTTCAGTAACCACGAGAGGCTCACCCCAGTGACAGCAACTGGCGCCCCACCTTGGTCTGGCACCCCTGCTCACCTGCTTCACCATCCTGCCATGGCCAACACTCGCCATGTTCCGTGTGCACCCTCTGGTGGTCAGCACATGTCATAGCGACCGGTTGTCCGGTTGTTAGGTTTTCCACCATTCGGTCTATTTGCATATTAGGGTTTTATATATATAGATTGTTGGCCCAAATTCCTATTCATAAATACTGAAGAAAGAATTTCTTACTCTATTATTTACTGAGTTGATGCAAAATAGTCTAATAACTTTATTTTTGTACCTGTGTTTAGTTTACTAATCAGTGTACTTCTAGTGTTTTTTGAAGAAACCTATAGTAGCAGCATAAGTTCTTTTAGCTTGTGTAATAATAATAAGGTCAGAAATATAAGATATAAATGAACTAAGTTAAATTTTAATTTGGTTCTTTAGAGTTTATTATCATAAACAAGTAAAATGTATTGTGTCACATTAGTGAGAACATTTGTAAAAAAATGTTGCATCTATTTTATAATATCTAATTCTGTGGTGAATATCATTTCTGTATTTAATCGAATTTGATATTTAAGTGAAACCTTTTTCCTGCATTAAAAAAACACAGGATAAATTGAAGTGTATGTATGTATAATATTTATAATTTATGTGTAGCTGTTTCCTAGCTCTTCCTCAGTAGACTACATCGTTTTGCAGTATATGAATGTACCATAATTTTTTTCCAGTCTTGTATTGGTGTGTACTTTGTTTCTAATCTCTTGCTAATGCAAGTGGTACTGTTAAGGATTAGCATGTAGATCTTCTTACACATGTGTGAAATATTTGTAGGACTAAATTCCTGAGATGGAATTGTTGAGCTATTCTAACTTTTGATAGTCATTACCAAATTCCCTTCCAGAGAAGCTGTGTCAATCAATAAAACATTTCAAAGCAACCAGCAATGTATGAGAGATATGCTCCCTGACACTTGCATTAGTACAAAGTGTTATCAACCTCTTTGATCTAATCTGAAAAAAAAGTATACTGATATAGCTTTCATTGCATTTCAAAGTGTTTCGAGTGATGGTGAACATCTTTTTATATATTTAAAGAAAAGACAACACGTCTTAAGATTGTTTTCATTTCCTTTTTTGTGAGCTGTGTGTTACATTTAAACTCCTTTTGAAACATACTGGGATGCAAGCCAATTATGAATTACCTATTTATTTATAGTGAAAGATGCTTCCATATCAGGCAGTCAGTCCAAAATAATTTCAGAGTTAAGATTAAAATTTTAATGGATTAAGTCTGATTTCCACTCTGGGTTTTCTTTTTTTGGGGGGGCGGGGGGAGTTTCTATTTTTTTTTTTTTTTTACCTCCTGTTATGTTTTTGTTGGGGATGGTGGTTGGCCACTTTGTTTCTACATTTTTATTTTGTTGGACTTTAGTTGGTATTTGGAATACCCTGTTCTCCTGAGAGCTTTTTTGGTGTAACAGGAAAGACAGGTTGGAAAGCCAATAAAGGTATTCCAGTGTTTTGGGTGTTAAGATAGACACTTATTCATGGTACATGGGGGCCCCAGAGACACTGTGGTCATTTCAGTTGGACTGAGCTATAGATAGTCCTGAGAGATACAGTGTTTAGGAATTTGTTGGTTTATTAATGTAAAAGAGGATCCACTAGAAAAGTGTTTATTTAGCTATTCTCTCAGCATTAGCAGAAAGAAAGTGGCAAAAACAATCTGGGAAGTACAGATCAGATTGTAGCAGGTCATAGATGGCAGGCATAGGAGTTTGTGGTACACTTAAACAGTTCAGAGTGGGTATATTTTGAAATTAACAAAAATTATGAAATACTTCAGCTATACTAGTATTAAGAAATAAAAGTACCAAAAATCTTTCATTGATATAATTACAGTTTGTTGACTAATTATAAAACATAAACTCATGGACCTGGGAATCAGAATATGTCGATTCTTGTCACCTTCCTTTGGACTGACTACAGGGCCTTGGACAAAACATGTACTTGTCATTGGAACTAGGTAGACAAAATATTCTCTAACCAAGGGGCATATTTATTCATTGAGAACAAGGAATTGAAATTTAAGTCAAAGGTGATTGCTTTCTTGCCTTTACATTATGTGATATAAGTGGGTACTAGATACTTCAAAATTACTTATAGTCTTAACATGTTCTTTATTAGAAAGGTAAATTGTCATCCTAGCACATATTCCAAATTGTTTTGTCCAAATTAATGGTGATGTTTTGAAGGTTAGGGAATTGCAGAGGAGTTGTTTAATAACCCATGTTGGGAGAATTATATATTGTTTCAGATATAACGAATCAAGATAAAGATCATGTTAACTTACACCATTATCGTAGTCCCTTAACACAACATGTCAAGGAGATTTCACTCTGATGTAATTTTGGTAGGGTCTGTCAGATGAAATGATGAAAGGTGATTTAAAGTTTTCCAACCTAGACAGTTTTTCCCCCCATGGAGGAATAAAGTAATTTAACAAGCTTTATTCAACATATTAGATCAGCTTTTAAAAATAAATAAAATATGTGTGCTTTTAAAATCACTTAAAGACCACATGTTCCCTTTTCAAATATTAGGTGCTGGAGTGTGGAGTTTGTGAAGATGTCTTTTCTTTGCAAGGAGACAAAGTTCCTCGCCTGCTGCTTTGTGGCCACACTGTCTGCCATGACTGTCTCACCCGCCTGCCTCTGCATGGAAGAGCAATCCGTTGTCCTTTTGATCGACAAGTAACAGACCTAGGTAGGAAAATATATGTGTATATATTTAAGATTTAAAATTGTTCATGGAATACAAACATCATAGGAAAATATTTCTTCCCAGTTGATTTTTAAAATTACATAATTAGAAGATAGATTCAGTTTCTTTAAGGCCAGTAGTAATCTTGTAAGTATAAATTACTCAATCTTAGGTACTAATTTTATTTAATCTTATGAGATGTTTATATTCAATACTTATTTGTATATGAAGAGCTTTTTAAGATGCCCGAGAACATAATCTATTCAAAGAAATAAGAAAATTCTTTTGCCTGAAGCCATTGATACAATAAAACAATCTTTCTATAATAAATAGGCCAATAATGAAAATACAGGTTAAGTAATTTGAGTGTCAGCATGTTTTTATTTACTGGTATCAAAACAGAAGTGTTTGTGGCTTGTGATAATTACTTGTTTTCTGTTTAAATAAGTGTAAAGGTTTTGTTGATTTTTTTAGTTTCCTAAATCTTTTAAAACTTTGCTTTATATTTCAAAATTAGTTATTAACATGGGATACTGGATTTAGAAATGATAACATTAACATTTTAACAGTTATTTTACAAACCCAAGTTCTATAAATCTATTCTTTTTGATAACAGAATTTTCTTTAAAAGAAATAGTTTAAAGTTGTCATTTTTCTTTAGGTCAGTAGCAATATTTGTTTTAAGGCTGATGTCAAATGGAACATGTTCAAAATAATTTACGAAAAAAAATTTTTTAGACTGGAAAACTTTAAAAAGCTGAAAAACATGATTTTAAATGTTTTCTTGTAGGGAAAGGATACGTCTCTTAAGGTTTTGGTAATCTCTGATTTAAATAAATATGTAGTATGTCCACTTGCCAGAAAACTAATATAGGACAGTGTTATCATTACTATAGATGACATTAATGCATTATTAGCCAAGAAATAATTAGGGGGAAAAGAAAGATATCTGTATTTCAACATTCTTTGGTTTGGCTTTTTATTCTAT